GCAATGGCCTCCAACCTAATAGCGACGGCCTCCAACCTAATAGCGATAGCCTCTCGCTGATTGACCATCGGATCTTCAAGGCTCAGCGGCTTCGCTTCAGTGGCGGCTTGCTCCGGGCAAGTTCTCGCAGGAAGCAGGTCAACAACGCCACATGGCCTTGCGAAGATAGACAATGAAACTAAATGAGGAGCGGACAACATTAAGTGCTTACACTATTGTCTTGGGCGAAGATGTTTTGCCCCACTTCCGCCACATGCCAAAGAACCTTCATGAGTGCCGCATCTTAATATTTATTGCCCTTGTAATTCGTGGCTGTCTCCAGGCGACAAAGATTCGCGACCCTGCCCTACACTACACGATTGAAAGTCAGAGCTTACCGCCAACATCAACATGACGTGGGCCATTGCCTTCATGGGCTATGCGCGTTGAAATTTGGCTGTCATTTTGTTGTAGTTTTGGTTATCCTCGCGGGACCGACCAATATATTTTTCAATATGTTCAGCTCAAAACTTGGGCCATGAGGAGCATTCCACAAAAGACTCACTCCTATACTCCTTTATGCAGTGTTTGATAAAGCTAATAACATCCCAACAGTTTCATCTAGCGACTCGTGCGCGTCATCACCCGCTTCAAGGGCTTCTAGAGTTCTTTTGTGTCACGCATCAGGCGCACCAACTGCACCAGCAACACCTGACACCACCTGTTCAGATTGCAACTGTGCACCTTGAACAAGCGCTATGCCAGAGACAAATGTAAACGGTCGTGGGCCGACTTCACTGTTACTTTTGATGACATTCTGACATGTGTGTCCGAAATTCCTTTTTGTTTGGCCTGCAAAATGCAACACTAGAAATGCTGGGAAAACATTGATCAGTGAAGTGCCTGTTATGGCTGCTTTAATGAGCCAAGTCATAGTGCCACAGAAGATTTTGACGCACATACAAATCATGCAACCACCTATCCACAAAAAGCTTACTTGAAAAAACAGCAAATAGCACAGCCCTGCCCCACCACACCAAAGGCCTAGGCAATCAGTGGTCCCTCGTCCGTAGAGGTTGTCTCCCTCCACTGTGAGGTGGAAAGGGTCCTAAGAGAAGTGGAACCGCTTCTGGAACTATCTGAAACCGAAGGTCCAAGGCGAGTTAAGTTTACCCCCAAATCTAGGAATCAAATGAATAGCCTGAGTTTTTGCTGCGTCTCAGACTAGTAGCTTCCTAGGACCTTACCGAAGAAGGCTCTCCCGTCCTTGGACCACTGCTCCGGATCTGCAGGTACCACATCGAAGTGGCTGCCAACCTCAGTCGTTCTCATCTCTACCATCTCTACCCGCTCTCTAACCATTGTAACCTCATCTTCTCACTCACCGACCATCTCCGACTTACACGACCTAGTAGGTTGGAGGCCATCGCTACTAGTACCTATCATCCTGGACCATCGCCATCTCCCCGGACGCATCTCTAGGACCCCAAACAAAGGCAACGGTTTGAGTCCCGGAGCCTGGGTAGGTGACCTTGGCACAAAGAGTTCGGTTTGCCTCGAAGAAAGGAAAAAAACACAGAACCAAAAAAAAACAAAAAATACATAAAAACAGAACATTTAAAAAATATATATAAAACAAAAGAAAAACAAAAACAACAAACACATAAAATAAAAAAACAACAGAACAATTAAAGAAAAACTGAAAAAAAACAATTCAATACACCTCCAGTGGAACACGTTGAGGCGATTGTTTTTGAGATCCCAATCATGTTCTTTCGATGTGACCTGCAAATTGCTATGGCTGGTGGCGAATGGAAGGAAACGTAAACAGTTTTTTGTTGGCTGCAGTTGAACTGCTGAGTCATGACGGCATGTTGTATACGTAAATAAAGCAGGCAAACCCCTTGTATTCAAGGAATCATATCGCATGTGGGAGCTGGTGCCACGCCAAATCTGAAGATTCTTGGTTGTGACCCAACCTGAAATTGGATGATCTACAGGAACAAACACGAGGTAGTATGATTGTGATTTGTGCGATTGCCATTGCTTCTGCTCCAAGTTGATCAAACCTGACGTGGGTTCAACCATTGAGACTAATAAAAAGATTATTCCGGTGACCACACTGCTTGGGGAACTTTAAGGAACCTAATAGCGATGGCCTCCAACCTACTAGCGATGGCCTCCAAACTACTAGCGATGGCTTCCACCCTACTAGCGATGGCCTCCAAACTACTAGCGATGGCCTCCATCCTGCTAGCGATGGCCCCAAGATACTAGCGACGGCCTCCTTCTTAGGCCCTTCTGAACTTCTTGATAAAGTTTGTCTTGAATTTGTCAAGCGCTTACCGGCTAAAGCAAGAGCCTTCTTTGTTCAAGAGCACGAGCACGTTTGTTGAACATCATCAAGAATTTTTTGCAAGCACTGGATGACCTAGAGATTTGCACAGCCCTTCGCCCAAATCTAGAAATGCGTTGTGTTTTTTGTGGTGTGGGGCTTATACACTGGGTCTGTACCTACGCCTGGGCTCCCCTCTCAAGCAAATGCCTACGCGAGAGGTTCTCTTTGTTAGGTGCCTACACGGGGTGCCTACGCAGGGTACTGTCACCAACTTATAGTCACATCAGGTGACCCGAAAAGAGATGAAAAGAGCTATATAATCCCCAAGTAGTGGCCCGATGCGACCGGGTCACATCAGGTTCCTGTTTACAAGGCGTTTGCAGCTTTTCTACCGATTGCCGGATAGATTTTGTACCAATCCAATTACAGTGTGGAAGCAGCAGCACACACAAACAGCACACAACAAGCAGCAAACAAGCAGCAGAAAACAAGAGGCAGCAGCAGCAGCAGCCAAGCAGCAGCAGAAGCAGCAGCCAAGCAGTAGCAGCAGCCAATAGCTTCTTGCCTATGCACTGCTTCCGCGAGCGCTTACGCGGGGCCTACGCGAAAATAGGTCTGTTGTTGGGACCCCAAAGAGTTTAGCCGGCTGCTCACATGGTGTAAGCTGTCGGGCAGTGCAGTTCAGTTTTTGCTCCATCGATAATGGTACCAACAGGGTATGCACACTTGTGGCTCAAGAGCCGGTGTGCGAGACCAAGCACGATCAAGCTTTTGACCTCAAAAACCAATGTGCCCCCATAGCTTCGACAAACAAACTTCAGACATCCACTGTAGCCGCGTCATGCCATCATGCCATTACAGTTCATTTTCCTTGTGTTCCCCGCTTGAATTTGCAAGCAAGTGTCAAGTTAAACAACTACAAACCAACATTATCTTTCCACAAGACCCTTGAACAACTTTTAGAGAAGTCTGAACAATAAAACTCATGCTTTCATTAAACATGTGCCTCCGCAAGACTGCCTACGCAAGTCTTTCAACACCCACCTACGCAAAATGCTTACATGACGCCTACGCCCCAAGCAGAACAGCCTCCGCAACTTCTCAACAGTTCCCTTTTTGCATAAACCTAATCATTTGCAAAAAACACGTGGCTCAATTGAGTTGCTTTAGTGTACTGCTTGCTCAAAACAAAACTGGACGCCCACACAAAATCGTCAACTCCCAACCTGCTGAGTTCTTGTTCCAGAGCTGCTCTTGTGGGACAAAAACTCATCTTGAGAGACCTGGTGTTTGAAACGTCCCAAATCGAGCCTTGAGATTGCTGCGGTTTTGCACGTACTCGAGCTCCTAACATCATTCTGAGCCCGTCAAGGTTGAGTATTTCAAACCTCGAAACAAACCACAGCATACTTGCAGCACTCACTTGGTAGAGGAAGTCCCGGACATCCCACCAGCACAGAGACTAAGTTGCAATTGAATCACAGCCACCCAGCACAATCTTCCAAACACAAGAACTAAATCGAACAACAAATCAAAGTCACAATGTTCCGGAGGTTGATTAAAGCTTAGATCTTAGATCCACTTATTTTTTCAGGTTTTTGAAACTGCTATCCTCCACGATGAGCGGGCCACCCTTCGCGGTGGAGTAGGCCTACAAGCACACATGAGACTGAAAGTTGTCAGAATCTTCAGCTCCTAGTAGCGTCCTTGCTCCTAGTAGCGATGCCAGGAGCCCCTAGTAGCGTCCTTCCTCCTAGTAGCGATGCCAGGAGCCTGTGTTATTTGGGATTCCAAGCTTACCCCTCTCGACAAATGAACCACGAACGCAAGAAGCAGAATTCTGCAGGTCTTATCACTTTCAGTCACAACTTCATTTTAGTGCTCAGTGTCCGCATCATTTGGCTTCACTTTGTGCATTGTCTTATCACTTTGAGTCTCATTCTCTGCCTCAAGTTCCTTGATGACGACCTGTGCGGCCCTCTTCTCCTCGAATGCTCTTTCTTTTCACGAGATCCAAGCACTTCACTCTTTGGAAGGCAAGAACAGGATAACTACCCCATAACGTCTTGACGTCTTTGTGTCTTTTTTTGCGACAAGAAAGAACTAGTCTGAAGTCTAAAGGTCCAAATGAAGCAAAAAGGGAGGAGAAAAAGTGGAATGCCTAGTAACAAGAAGCTACTAGGAACAAGTGCATCGCTTCTAGTAACAAGTGCCTTACTACTAGTAACAAAGACGCTACTAGGAACAAGAAGCTACTAGCTTCCTTTAGACCTTCAGACTCTGGGGGCCTTTCCTTAATTATAACCGACCATTCTCATGTCCTGGGGCTTTATGTTCATCGGCGGATTGTTCTGGAGAAACTTGCTCTCGTCCAGCAATCTGGCGACCGGCAAAGAGCTTTTTGAGAAACTTGCTCACAGAGAGTTCCGCACAAAGAAACGGACTAAAAGCTACTAATTTCTCTCGGTCCATAGTTTCTTCACAAAAATCGCTTGAGTGCATGAGTTGAGTCGACAGAGTTCTGAATGCGTGGTGGTTCTACAGGGCAACAATTTCTTCCTTACTCAGGAGTCGTCGTATGGATGTTGGGGAAGGTTTCCTTTTTAGGACGGTTGGCCCGGCCGAGCTGCTGCACATAAACCTATCATGGCATTCCAAATGAAGTCAAGTCCACACATAGTACTGTAGAAGAGAGGGACTACTAAATTGAACAAACTGGGCTGGTTTCAGCTACAATTCATGACGACCAATAGCCATGTCAGAAATATCAGAAATAACACTGTAGCACAAAATCGCTCTGCCATGGCACCGCATCTCCTCAAAAGCTCTCAATAACGACATTGCAACACATCAAACATCACCATCTCCCCTGCAACAAGAAACGGGCATCGGCAATAATACACAAGACAGGCATTTCTGGAACAATTGCTCAAACACCAAATGTTATTCTTAGCCACACTGATTAAACTTTGGCATGAGACCGGGCTGTGGCTTTGGGATTCTTCTCGCGTCCAGCTGGCAGCTCTAGCGCTGGAATCTACAGGGCTGCTCCTTTCTGGCCATATCGTCAGCATGCTCTTTCCGGATTGTGGGGGTATTGCAGGGTCCTCCATTGTTAAGTTTCCCTACAAATCAAGGAACAAGAGCTACTAGGGGCTCCTGGCATCGCTACTAGGAGCAAGGACGCTACTAGGGGCTCCTGGCATCGCTGCTAGGAGCAAGGACGCTACTAGGGGCTCCTGGCATCGCTACCAGGAGCAAGGACGCTACTAGGAGCAAAAAGCTACTAGGGGCTCTTCTTCAGTGCTCACGCTTCTTCAAAGAAGCTTCCCCCAGGCGGCGGGGGGAGCTTCCTTGAAGAAGCGTGAGCTATCCTGCGTCCATACTAGTAGCTTAAGTAAGGTACTAGCTACCTCTCCCTTACTTAACTTGAGAGAGGAGGGGGTGAACGAAAGGTAGCAGGCAATCACAAGTAACCCTGGTAGAAGTCCACGACGGCGTGAACCGGCGCAGGGGGGATTTGATCCAGGGCCCCCCCCCCCGACGAACAGAATCAACTCTTACAGGACCAAATTCAATGCACAATCCCAACCCCTGATTGTAATACATTTTTGCTAAAGCAAGGAGAACTCAGGTAGCTCAAGCTACCTTTCGTGATTAAGTAGGCGCCTACTTAATGAAGTAGAAAGGGGGGAGAGCGAGCGGCCTAAAATAACGAACAAAAGCACACAAGGAACTATGTAGTTACTTCGTTTGTACCTGGAAGTGCTGCACAAATCGCCGGAAAGACTTTCTCAGGACATCGACGTAATGGGCCTTATCCAAGTCCTGTCGCAAATCTGAGATTCGATACAACCAGTAACAAGGTGCATCGCTACTAGTAGCTATTACTAGTACAACAATCCGTAGTTTTGGTATTCTGGAGGATGCTCTGGGAGCTTCCTTTTCATCTGATTGGTATCTCGGTCAGTTTTGGCCACTTGACGATAACAAATCAACCAGAAGGCTATACTATACTTTCTTAAAAGCTGGCTCTCGTTAGTGCAGAACTGGTGGACTGTGACATTGTCTCAACTTGAAAAATGGAACATCATAATCTTGATCGCAAACTTGTGGAGTCTGGAGTAGAACAGCTTCTGGGGGCAACACTGGTACAGTTTTGTTCAATTCCAGCCATTCTTGAGGGAGATCGTAGGGAAACACCCTAATTGCATGGCTAATTCCTCAACGTACCAGAAACGCTCCATTGCATGGGCTTGTGGGAATCTTTCAACCAGCCTGAAGATTTTTACTTTCCAACCGAGCCATCCCACCAAGGCAAGCCCAGCGACTCTTTCTGCATTGACCAATCAAGTTGATCCACCCATTCCGATGTGCCACTATCTACACATTCAGTGAGGAATCCTGAAACAAATTGATTATTCAACGGGAAACCATCACAAAGGATATCTTTGATCGAAAACAGAATCCTTTCCCGCTGAAACAGAATCACGTCGGCTCCAATTAAACTCGCATCCTTGCGCGCACAAAATCATCTATCCACTCCATCCAAGCAATGCTCTGGAAAGGTGGGGTGGTTAAGTGCAAAGGATCAAGCATGTCAAATGTCAAATGTACGTCAAACGTTCTGTGAGTCTTGTCTTGCATTCCATTCTGTTCCTTACGTTTGGATAAGAAGGAATTTGATCCCCTGGTTTGATTGGAGCTGATCTTCCATCACCACATTGAACTTTGAAAGGGGATGTTTTTCGTTCTTTGAGCTTGAACTTTGAACTTTGAGCTCCTTTACCAAACGATTTTTCGTTCGCCTGAGCCTTCATTCTGAATGGCGAGCGCTTCGCCATGTCGCCCCCCAAGCTTGTCTCAAACATCGGTCACTGGGGGTCCGAAGACAAGCCATCTCCTGACGAAGCTACGAACGGAGCAAGGGGCATCGCTACGAACGGGGCTCCTGGCATTACTACTAGGAGCAAGGGCATCGCTACTAGTAGCATCCTTGCTCCTAGTAGCGATGCCCTTGGCTCCGTGCGTAGCGAGGCCGCCCCGATCGTAGCGTCCGATCGCTCCTAGTAAGGCCAGGAGCCCCTAATAGCCTTGTTACTAGTAGCTTCTTCATCTCCAAAAGGAATCTAATAGCGGTCTGGAGAACAAATCAGGATCCCTTCATCGGAATGGCAGGCGATCTCTTCGTCTTTCTGGCAAACGAAGGAACTCTATGTTTCAGGGAAGCCACGCCATACCCATATCCTTTGCTAGTATATAATTACAAGTGCATCGCTAGTAGTAACAAGTGCCTTACTGGTAGTAACAAGAAGCTATTAGTTAATTTAATGTAATTTTAAATTAATTCTAATTTAATTTCATTTGGTGACCGAAGAGGAACGGTTTGTAGCACTGCGGCGCCAACGATCAGGCCATGAGAAAATGTTCCTAGCAGCGTCCTTGCTCCTAGTAGTAAGGCCAGGAGCCCCTAGCACTTGTTCCTAGTAGCTGCTTTCCTGCAAGCAATCCTGTGGGGTAGTCTTCTTGGATGCTTTTGGACCAGGATGCTTACCAACTTCTTTGAGCAAACAGCACTAGCTTCAATCCAGGTTCAATTCAAACGATTGACCCCACAATCCATGCCACATCCTGACAGTCCCTCGAATTGATGGTTGCTGCAACATGCAACAAATCAGGTCTTCCCAACCCAAATCTGGTTGGTGCATACACCCCAACGGTCCTGGTATCACCACGGCGCTTCCACGTCATTTTCATGTGAAAATCAAAGGATCTGGAAAATATATCCTCCCAGCGGGTGAGGAAAAAGTCCGCCGAACAGACTAAGGACCTCCCCATAGGCTTCTAGCTGCTAGTAGCTTCTTGCTACCGGTAGCGATGGCCTCCAACCTAGCTACCATACGTGCTTTTCAAGGTATTGGCGGTTTACACCATTCACACCCTCCGCACTTTTGACATCACCAGAGCGAAACAGTGAACCGAAAACGACTCCCAGAGTGCGGAGTTCATATCGCTGATCAATGTCTGTCTCGAATACAAAACGTTGCTTGAACAACTTCCAAAATGGTCGTTCACATCCCACACCAGTCTCCACCATACCCACGCTCCCCTTATCAGCTATCAGCTGTCTCTAACATGTCGCAACTGGCACATGTACAAACATGTCCTTTTCATTGCACATGGATTGAGAATCAGCGGAATCAGTATATCAATGGATGTTGAAAATAAATGCCCGGCAAGTAGGGAATAGTCATCCTAGTCACACAAGTTTCTTTCTTTGCAAACCAAATGAGTACAGTCGGTCAATAGTGTAGATAGTTATAGCCGCCTCGAACCACCTGGGTCAGTCCTTGACCTCAAACTCATCGCGGTCTTTCAATTTGGCTTCTGTTGCCATGTTCAAGAGCTCCTGAAATGATCTTGATTCAGTTGGAGTTGTCCAAAGCAAAGGCATGCGATTTCTTATCATCTCACAGGACATTTCGGCCATCCAAGTGCCCAGGAAAAACAACACACACAATAAGCCCTTGAAGCTGCTCCATGTCGTCTCACAGAATAAAAAAACGGCGTACGGACTCCTTGATGGGGAAGCTTCGAAAGAGCCCCTCCAAAGGGTCGGTGCCCTCCTGGCCGACCAACCAGCTGTCGCCGACTGAAGGAACCGACATGAACCGACTGACCCTTGAGTCCAACTAAAAACTTTCAAAAGTACGAATGCCCAAAACCGATCATGTGCTCTTCAGTGGTTTGCAAACTTTGTCAATACAAAAAACACCACAGATCCACAAAAGAATGCTTCTAGTAACAAGGGCATTGCTACTAGTAACAAGGACGCTACTAGGAACTCCTGGCCTTACTACTAGGAGCAATGTTCGCTACTAGGAGCAAAGGGCATCGCTACGAACGGAGCAAGGACGCCACGTAGGTTGGAGGCCGCTGCCTCCAAGATCTGCTGGATGATGACGAGCGCAATGGAGATCGACACGGCGCGGGTTCGGATTTTCAGGTTTGATCCGAAACCGTAGGCCTTGACGTTCTTCACTTCGGCCTGACAAACTATCCTCAGCTTGTTTGTGACATGTATATTTTAGTATTATATATGAGGTTGTGTGAATTAACATCGAGCTATAAGTCTGGGATGAACCAGGATGCAAGCATACAGCTCCCATCAAGCCTTACGCTCGAAATTTGAGATGCTCAAGAGCACATGAGAACCTCTTTCAACCAATTACTTCTGCGGGGAGATGCGATGTCTCAACAAATGAGTCCCGCACAGGACATGTAAGGGCATGCGAATGTTGAACAAGCGACAGGCGACAGGACTACATCGGTATGAGGAAGTCCTTCAATTGAGTAAACGTTTGTATCTTCATCCAATGGTAATATTAACCCCCCAACCACTCAACGTTTCATTTCTCTCAGTTCTTATCTAGATTGGCTGACATGCGACGTTCCCACCCTCCTCACCTTGGCGCTGATGTATTCCCGTGGCCAGATCTGCCGTGCGTGGAGTTCATTTAAAACCTCGCATTGGTGCCCCATCTCCTGGAAACCATCTGGACGACACGGCGGGATGGCCATTTTCAAGTCTCGTTTGACTTTCGTCATCCAAAGCTGTTTGAACGTCAAAAGGTGATTTCGGACTTCGGTTGATGAACGATTTGAGTGCAAAGTTCAAACTGCGAGATGGAGACCTTTGGTCTTTTGTACTTGTCGGTCTGTTCGGGTGTCTTCGAATTCTTTGCCTTTTCACTTGAGCACCTTGTTTGAAGCAGGAGCAAGGACGCTACTAGGGGCTCCTGGCCATACTACTAGGAGCAAGGACTTACTAGGGGCTCCTGGCCTTGCTACTAGGAGCAAGGACGCTACTAGGGGCTCCTGGCCTTACTACTAGGAGCAAGGACTTACTAGGGGCTCCTGGCTTGCTACTAGGAGCAAGGACTTACTAGGGGCTCCTGGCTCTTGGCAAAGGAAGCAACCAAACAGTTCGAAGCACAAGGAAACACCAAAAAGATCCAAAAAGTATGTGTAATATTCGGAGCGCAAAAATAGCACCCCTCTGAACACATGGCCACGCCCAAACTTGATCAAGTGCCAGGAAATGGCTCCTGGTTCTGATCCTGTCGCTTCAACTCTTCTCTTTCTCGGACCTGGAAGCGCTGCAATGCTGCGTCCAGAAGATGCTTTGCAATGCGCTGGAAGCGATTCTCCTTCGCCGTCAACCGCACACACAGCGAACCGTTCCTCAGGATGAGTGGCGACAAAACTGGTGGCTACCACCCTGACAAAGTGCTGCTGGCATGCTTTGTGTGCTGTTGAGCACAAAAAGAACACGGTCAAGAGAGGAATACCGAATACCCTTCTTGGACCATGAACCTGTATTATTCCCTTGATAGTGGGATTCAATCCTGGAATTCAAAACCAAAAGCAGGGCTCCCCAAGCTGGTGAGTTCAAATGAACGAATCGATTTTGGGTGCATGGACGTACCCGGGCTCTCCAGAGCCTTCATCAATAAAAAGGGTCCACAGGAACTTTTGAAACCCTCGTTTGTTTGTGTGCCGAAAATACTGTTATGTATAAGGTGGCAAGGTGGTTGGTAGGGAATTGTGTGCTTCTCACACAAGGTGCACAAAACGGCAACTGAAAGACCAATATTTATAGTCGTCCTTTGGATCGAGGTCCATAAAAGATTCACTGTGACAGGATTGGTTGGCAAAGAGTCGAGGGATTAGGAGCCGTCACAGAATCCGGGAGGAGACTTCAAATCTGTCATGTTGGAGGCGGACAGAGATAAAACATGATAAAACCACAAAATCATGCCCGTCGTTTGGTTCTGAGCAGTCTGATCCCAGAAATGATGGCATTGTTTTACATGCACAAGTGGCAGTCTGGATAGAATGAGAACAAAAGGGCTGATTGACTGATTGCCTCAAGGGGTTTCTCTCGCACGGATGGAGAAATGATCCTAGTGTGCTCTCCGGGTGGACAAAAGGACATAATTAGGGGACATGAATGCGAGAGCCACCAGTCAGGAAGTCACTCCAACATTGTACGTATAATGGTGAACTCCAAATGCAAGCCGACGAGAACCATCTTACGGGTTGCAAGTTTCGCCAAGTAATGCATCTCAATCCCCTCCGGCGCCGCCATGGGAATTGACAATGGCCATGAGAAATGATTCTTAGCCTTCTTGTGTTAGTGGGTGATCATTTGCAGCACATATGTTTATTTTGGACCAACACGAGGGGCTGTGCAGAAGCTCCCAAGGGGCTGGGTTTTCTGATCTCCTTTGTGGATTCTTAGAATTTGTTTTGTTGACATTTACCAGAATCCTATTCGTATCACGTTCAGTACAGTTGACAATCGTCGAAACTGGGTGACTGAAACTCAGCCTCGAGGATGTTCTGAATATCATCCAATGCGGGACAATGCATTGGTACATAGTGCTGCCCCTCCCCTTGAGCAAACAACGCACGAACTGCATGCCCAAGCACCGTAAAAAACACCACGACGCCATTAAACCAATTGTCCATTCCCTCACCACGAAAAGGAGGTATCTTGGGTTATACATGATGTCAAGTGGGAGTTCTTGAAAGCTCGCTGGCCGCATTAAAACTCTATCAGGACTCCAAGATGCTTTCTCTATACAAAGGGCTTAAAGTGTCAGTCCAAGTGATTCTGCAAACGCGGAAAAGTCTTCAGTCCAAGCACTCATGCAGAAGCCGTCCTTTGAAAAGCCGCGTAACCGTCCGAAGTCTGCTGAGGTCTCTGTCAACTTGGCCTTGCATGGATGCGGTCTGGGTGCAGCACAGTGTTTACTGCCTCCAACCTAGTAGCTTCTTGCTCCTAGTAGTGATGCCCTTTGCTCCGAGTAGCTTCTTGCTCCTAGTAGTAAGGTCAGGAGCCCCTAGGAGCGTCCTTGTCCATGATAAATCGAGCCATCACGGATTTCATCGATTCTACCTTAGCCTCTCTTCAGGTCCTGAGGCTGAGAGCCCAATTCTATCATCATGTTACGCTAGTCAAAAGTCTTCGTCAAATACAAACCTGTCGATTTAGCCTCCGGTTGGGTACTTTAAATCCCACAGAACACCCTGCAACTTGTGCTTGTCACAGCCAAAGAGGCCTATGAAGGCTGACCAAAATTACAGGACTCTCTTACAGAACTATTGAGCCCTGCAACTGGGCGAGTCATCCAGAAACGCACTTGCTGTGTCTCATCAGGACGCCGGACATCTGGTCGCACTTTCGCATTGCTTGAGTAGCTCCTAGGCAACGAGGAATCGTGAGATGCGGAATCCAACCTCAAAGGTGCTGGTCTATAGCTTGAAGCTACTAGTAACAAAGGCCATCGCTGCTAGGAACAAGGACGCTACTAGGAAGAAAGGCAAGAAAATAAGAGCACCTTAGCTTGAAATTTGTTTCACATCTCCAGTACCAAAATAATATGCTTGGCCACGGTTCACTTGCTACCCTTGCTTGTATCTTCATCATCAAAAAGCTTCAACTCAAGTTGCAAAACTTATTTAAGCTAAATGCTGAGGTCACCCCCACTATTTGTATAATTCAAATAGTGGGAGTCTTGATGACAGCAAACCTCCTCACATATTTGTCAAGGTTACCAAAACTTCCCCAAACGTGACAAACTAAGTCAGAGTCACCGTGAACAGCTACGGCAGCTAGGGACATCAGACTGACAATGACAAGGGGACGAGAATATTCGTGATGCTTTGCATGACTGATAACGCCGCAGCTGCAAAAAGTACTAGCTGATCCAGCAATGAATTTCCTCCTTCAGGGAACTACTGTCTTCACAAAGCTGGTGCGATTGCCAGCACTTTGCCGATTCCTAGCGTTGGAAAAAGCCACCCAAAGCCACGGAAGCCCCAGTGCCAAAAAAACTCCTCCTCAGCATCCTTCCTAAATATGCTCTCCCATCGGAAGCTTTTGCGGCTTTTGCAAGTGTGGGTTTATTGGTATCTGCAACCAAAAACTTGCAAGATCTCCCTTGAACAGTGCAAGCCTCTGGGGATGACATGCAAGAAACAGCTTTTCCAAGGTACGGTGCGGCTTCTCTAAAGCGGTGCTTCGCTGGTGAAGTCATGTACCTTGCGCTCTGCACGGATCCAAATGCTATGTCTTGGAGTGTATGTGTGTGGGTGAGTGATGAGAAGCTTGGGCAGGTAACGCAGCGAAGAAGTTTGGAGCCCGTTACTGAGTTTACTACATCACATCAGTCACCTCAATGAGTTCAGAGAGACGTTGAAATGTTGTGGACATAAGAAAGAGATCGAGATTTAGACAAGGACGCTACTAGGGGCTCCTGGCCTTACTACTAGAAGCAAGGACGCTACATCTAGGACGAGCTTTCCTGCGTCCGGAGGTTGTAGCTTCCTCTTGCTAGTAGCTTACCTTACCTCTTACGACATCTACTTACTATGTACTAGCTGGTTACTTAGCACTGAGCCTACGTACTACGGCCGACCTCTCTCCCAACAAAGAAATTACTGGAACTTATTCATTGAAGTTTATAACTCAAAAATAAACCAAACACTTTAGATGGAAACTGCCAAACCTCCATTCGCTGCCTGGTGACAGTCTTGCCATGTCTTGCCCCTATGTAGTTCGTCTTGGAATGCTACTGGCAAGAACGCCTTCCAAAAGAATACCCCACGCCTGCCATTGGAGGGTCTTTTGCCAGGAACACCTCTGTGTTAAGTTCATTACAATCGCAGGTCTTCAATTCTGTATTTGCTTCTAACTTTGGATCTTCTGATCCAAGCACAACACGACACTGCTCTCTACATATCCTTAAAAACAACTTGGCCCAAAGAAAAAGACTTCAAGGGGATCAATCGCCACTAGTAACAAAGGGCATCGCTACTAGGAGCGATCGGACGCTACTAGGAGCAAAGGGCATCGCTACTAGGAGCAAGGACGCTACTACTGGTAACAATCGCTACTGGGGACCTCTGTGGCGACCCTGGCGGCCCTGGCGCGAAGCCCCCTTTGCTCACTTCATGGTGGGCGATGCTAGTGGCCTGGCGGCTTCGGACACGTGGTAGTAATGCACCTTGCTACTAGTAGCGTCCTTGCTCCTAGTAAGGCCAGGAGCCCCTAGTAGCTTCTTGTTCCTAGTAGCGTCCTTGCTACTAGTAATGGCCTCCAACCTAATGGCGATGGCCTCCACCCTAGTAGCTTCTTGTTACTAGTCTTTAGTAGTAATGCACCTCTCACAAATGATCACATCTCCGATCTATCACAACATCCGAAAGCTCGAAGCATGTTTTCCCAACAGAATTTTAGTGGATTGTGCTGGAACTTCAAAAGGAGGAGCTGAACCGTTGAAAATCACGCATCCTTGAAAACACTCGCCCCACCCAAAACTCTCCAATACTTTGTGGTATGCAACTGGGTGGCAACCTCTGGGCCAACTTCGAAGCAATGCCAAGCAAAACCCTTGATTCATGCAGTTTAGCCGTGAGCCGACCACAGGTTCCCGCCCACGGAACTTGCAAAAAGGCCAGGGCGACACTTTGGAAATAGACATTTCCCTCCGTGGGAGATCGATGCGGTCACGGAGGTATTCCAAGGCCTGCGGACGCTATTAAGAGCAAGGACGCCCCTAGGGACTCCTGGCCTTGCTACTAGGAGCAAGGACGTTACTACTTTGGAATTCTCATTCTTCCTTCATCTTGCTTCTCAATCGGAGCAGTAGCACCATGTAGCACCATCAGGGGATTGGGAAGCACAATTTCAACGTGTCCTTTATTCGGACAACTGGGTAGCATGGAGGATGTGTCTTCGAACCCTCCTTATACAATTCCACATACATGGTTACAATACTCGGTACCCGAAATGGTTTGCACAGAAGAAAGACTGTCAAGGGCCAAGGGCATCCAACCATCCAGCAGCTCATTAAAAAAGCAACAAGATGGAGCCCACGAATCCGAATGCAAACACGTTCCAAAAGCTACATATGTCCAAATGACACTCTTGTAGGACACTCTTGTGGGACACTCTTGCGGGGCACTCTTTTGGGAAACTCTTGTAGGACACTCTTGTAGGACACTCTTGTGGTCACTCTTACAGGACACTCTTGTGGGACACTCTTGTGGGACACTCTTGTAGGACACTCTTGTGGGCCACTCTTACAGGACACTCTTCTGCGACACTCTTCTGGGACACTCTTGTGGGACGCTCTTGTCGCTCACCAGCGACACGCCGCGTTTGCACCAGCATGCTTCGTGCTCCCCAGTGGCACGGCGCATCGCAAACGCACTTCCCACCAAGGCCGCGCAAATCCGCATGGCACTGCGACATCACGAACGTAATTTCGCCACACGGTCCGCCACCCACTAGAAGCAAACATTTCGCACGATACCACCAATCATCCTGCTCACCAGCGACACGGCGCAGGCGAGGCTTCGAGTCACGCTTCGAGTCTGCAAGACGAGCATTTCGTACGAGACGTCCTCCAAAAGTCACGCGTCAAGTCTCCAAAACGAGCGTTTCGTCCGAGACGTCCTCAAAAACTCACATGTCGTCTGCAAAACAAGCGTTTCGTATGAGACTTCCTCCAAGAGTCAAGCGGAAACACCCACCGGAGCACACACATCAAGCAGTCCTGCAGTTTCGCGATTCCAGCCCCTCCAAACAACACCCGCTCACACGCCAATATCCCAATGTCACAGCGACATTCACCTCCACCACAACTCACAACCTCACCATTCTCTGCGCCTGCCACGAAACTTTCCGCGTCCACAAGTCTAACGCGCACAAAGTACTGCGCCTGCCACGAAATGTCACCTCCGTCACACCTCGCAACTTCATGATTCCCCGCGCCTGCCATGCAAATCGCACTTCCATACCTCAAAAGCCGCGCAAAGTACTGCGCCTGCCACGAAAAGTGTCAATATCATATCATGTGAGCGTCAACAAATTTTTGCACCACACCACACGTTTGGAATGACTTCGACCCGTTCTGAGCACACCCCCAGCCATCAAAATTGAGACTCGTCACGAAATCAGAGCTTCGATGCAACACCCTGAAACGCAAGCCCCAATGGCACGGCCACACCCAACACCCCAACAACACCACTCTCCAAACGCTAATCCCAATGGAACTGCGCAGAAAACTGCGGATCTCACAAAACGCTGCGCCTGCGCAGTGAAATCATTCTCCACACTTCAACATCTTACATTTCCACACGATTCCACGCTATTTTACACGAATCTGACAAGTCACGTTTCCATCCGAAACCCTCTCCAAAAGCTTCCCCCAATGGCAGCGCCTTAGCGCTCTACCGCGAACGGTTGCGGACGGTTGCGAACGCTGAGACAGCGCATCGAGAACAAGACCCTACCCCCAAACCCCCAGAGTTAAACGAGAACCCTTCGCTACGCATTCGGGAAAAAGCATACACAGGAACTGAAAGATAATCATTTTCAATTTGGAGAGAATCATCCATCGTTTTCTTTATTTTATCAAACCCTGTCAATTGCTTTGGGAACTGGAATGATTCCCAGTCCCTTTTTACTCCACTGCTTGGGTTTTAACCACCGCCACCATGACCACCATTGAGGTTCCTAAACCATTTACAGTGCAGATTGGGACGAACTTTTAATGTCAAACACTTCAAAACGAGCTCGATCGTATCCGCGTTGATGCCATCCCCTCCAGGATGGTGATAGCTTCTGTTTCACAAAACAAACGCGACGCCAGAAACGGAGCACCTTGAGACAAGCTGCACCAAGGCCAAAACAGGCAACACCTTCCAGGCAGGACATGGCGCCTCAAAGGTTGCGGACTGACACCGCCACGGCTTTGTTCCCAGTAGCGATACCCTTTGCCCCTAGTAGCGTCCTTGCTCCTAGTAGTACGGCCAGGAGCCCCTACTAGCGTCCTTGTTCCTAGTAGCGATGCCCTTTGCTCCTAGTGGCGATGCCCTTTTCTCCTAGTAGCGAACATTGCTCGGCATTCGGTATTCCACGGCATGAACACTGAATCCCCAGCTGTTAAGTATCTGTTCCCGGATGCTGCTGGTATGGCATCTCGAATCCTCCCAAAGTCTCCTTCCTGAAGGCCAAGATAGGTGTCTCCTAATATCCCTTGCAAACCTTGGTTGCCTGGTCCAATGTTTCTGAATCTACACTAAGGCGAGGGAGCCCATGTCCAATGCCGCAAAGCTGGAGCACACCTTTACATTTAAATGTGTTTGTTCAATTTCAGTGACGTGGTCCAGGCCTGAATACTCTGTTGAATTCTTGTTGCAACACTCAAAATACTCAAATCAACCTACCAGTCACGTGTTGACAGCTTTTGATGATTCTGCTTGAGGTTCCTCTGAGACAACCAAACCCAATCGCCCTTGATTTGCTGGCTTCAGCTGGAAGCCTTCAAACATATGCAAGTGATCAAGGGCAGACATATGGAGACATTGATGGGTCCTGCAATCCACTGACTGGGGCCATAGCAGCTCCAAATGCGTCCTTGCTCCGTTCGTAGCGATGCCCTTTGTTCCGCTTCTTGCTCCTAGTAATAAGGCCAGAAGCCCCTAGTGGCGTCCTTGCTCCTAGTACGACAATAAGACATATATAATCTAACTGTTTCTCTGAGCCAAATAGGTGCCCCAATGATGCTTGTCTGCCACCATGCAGCTACAGCGGGTTTGTACGGCATTTACCGCGGCTTTGCTTCCTCTTTGAAGGTCCAGCTTTTGCTAGTAATAGAATAGACTTGGCTAGGCCTAGAATCCCTTCACTCACCATGGGCACTGATAGATCTGAGCTCCATTCTGACAAAGGCCTGAGAAGACATCATGTCCAACTACCCTTGCTGGGTGAGCAGTGGTACCAGTCTGGTACCAGTGGTATGATATAAATATCTGAAGTAATACCTCTGACATCCTCTCACTCTCTTGTCGACCTCACTTTTTTTCACCGATGGCCCATCGCTGCGACTCTGAAAGCGGATCCCAGCTGATCTGGGCGTCGGGACAGGAAGCAAAGTGAATCTGAAGAATGCCGTGTTTCACACGTGTCCAAGAAGGCAACGTTTCTGACATGAGTTGATTAAAAAATAGGAGCAAGGACGCTACTAGGGGCTCCTGGCCTTACTACTAGGAGCAAAAATGCTACTAGGGGCTTCTGGCATCGCTAATAGGAGCAAGAACGCTTGAGATTCTTTTTCTTTTTATATATATATATAGATCACTTTATGTAAAGCGGAAACAGGGCGCTCTCGTGAAGCGGTTTAGAAGTGCGAGCCTCAAAGCGCAGTTGTGGGAAGAGGCGCTTGCAATGGCCTGCAGTTGGCACAGAAATGTCAGACAAAACAGCTCTCAAAAGCCAGAACCAGCACTCAGAACACAAAAAAGGACCACATTGACCACATTACAAGGCGCAACCCATGTCGTGCCATCAGTGCTTCAAATCCACTGAGTCGAGCGTCAGAAAGCAGCCAAGCAAGAGATACATAGCGATCCCGACGTATGGAGGAGCACCCCCTTAGAGCACGACGTGGGTGAGGGTGATGCTTGGTGCTACACAGCCACGAAGAGAACTCATTTTGATACGCTTCGCATGACAGAAACTCCCTGTAGTTTTGACGGTTATTTTGGAGAGTAGCTAAAGTGGTTGGTAAGGCTAGCACAATTTGGTGACCTACTGTATGAGAACACTGGGCAACTATATAAGTCCGCTCTGTCCAGCTCACACATGACAAAATGTGAGCAATGAGATCTCATAAACTTACGTGTACATGTGCCCCTTTTTTCTGGAGACAAAGAGCTGCAACCATCAAGCAAGCTTAACAATGTCACTACCCCAAAAAGACAGAATAAACGCTCCAAGTTATTGGACAACTGCACTGATATTCCAAGTTGTGCTTCCTCACTAGCTCATGTGGGCAAGGCTACTTAGCAGCGAAAAACTGATGAGTTTGGCAGACAGATGTTTAAAAAACATTCTTATATATTGTTTCCCGTATGCATGTTTACCAGCAAGTTCTCAGCTCCCAAGCTTTTTGAGGTGAATGATGTGTTCGCTTGCAGATGCTAAAGACTTGACAATGCAACAGGTTAATGGACGTTTGTTTATGGAACCCTTTTCTCGGAAGGCATTGTACAAACAAATCCTTTGAGAGCACCAGTCACTAGAAAGTTGGCATTGCATGTGACCAAATCCAGTAGAGATTACACTAGATTCATAAGGATATCTGCCAAACTAGCATTCGAAACGGTTGCTGGCTTTTCCTGGCACATGTCCTTTTCAAGCGTTCAAGGCAAATGATAGTCTCGTGTGATGCATCAATATGAGCCAATCCGTTGCCATAAACATGATTAAACATGTGTGTTAAGTTTCCCTAAACATGTAGAAACCAAATCATTAGTGCGAGCGCCTTTAGGGCGGCGGGGGAGCTTCCTTGAAGGAGCATGAGCTATCCTGCGTCCATAAGTAGTAGCGACCTCTCCCTACTACCTACCTCCCTCCCTACCGGCCTATTCCCCCGCCCCGAGAAAAACACATCCCGTGCTGTCAACCTTTTCGCAGTCCAGGAGCTCCTTGAATCCGTCGCGCGTCTTCGAAGAAGTTCACCATGGAGGAGAGTGCCACTCGCTCCTCGAAGAAGAGAATGTTCCAGGCGAATACGTTCAGCCAAAGCCAAGGGCAAACTGGACGATAAAAAAACTGTGTTTAAAAGGAACAATATACAAAAAAATAAACACATTAATATTAATGATAATATTGTTGTTGTTGTTGTTTTCTATTCAATTGGGTAAAGAAGCAAAAACCACATTCATTTTGATCTTTGGATCCTCGAAGCCCTCACAAAATGGTTCGCGTACCTATTCTTGGCTACAACTCCACCTCCTCAAAGCAGCTTCACAATGCTAAAGCCCCGTTGACTGGAAGAAATAGTTATGTTCTTCCATTTCAAATTCCTTTTCTTAAACATATTTTTCTATCAAAAAATCCTTCCTGATCAAACATGATCAAACTTCTTTTCTCGGGCGGGGACCACTTTAGACAATAAATAGACATCACAAGGCCGGCATCCTTCGTGATTTCACAACTCCGTCGTCGCCCGTGTCGCCTTTGACCCCCGGGATCCACAGCAATGATCCCACACTTTTAGCGGTTTCTTGAAAAGAGGAAAGCTAGTTTGATTGCAATTGAAGTAATTAGAACGAATACCCCCTTTCTTTTTCTTGACAAATCAAGGGAGTCCCAGGTCTCGTTCCATGGCGTTCCGACTGAAAATGTTGCAGATCAGTGGCAGCATGTGTTGCTTTGTCAGACCACTTCGTCGGGGGCAATAAAATGCTCTCTGGGCCTGGATGCCGGCATCGATGCAGTCGCAAACAGTTTGGAGAAAGCTGCACAGCATTCGCAACACTTTTGAAGGCCTTTCCAAGTCGAGTGCGCAAAGCTATCCATGGACCCGTCGGACCCAACTTCGTTAACCTGTCTATGCCGAGTGGCCACCACTGGCCATGCATCGACCAGCACACAGCTGGTGAACAATTTGCGCCTCCAAACTAAGCAAAGTAGAGGAACCAGCGAAGTAAAATCCAAGAGTCTGAGAGTGTTTTCTTGAGATTTTGAGCGCATGACTTTTGACTCATTTAAGGAACTGATGCGATTCAGTGATGCTTCATTTTCAGTTAAAGTCGAAGACTCAAGGCACACTTTTTATGCCACAGCTACAAATCCTACAAACACATATTCCAACATCAAAAACAACCTGAAGGACATCATTACGATCGCCGGCTGGCCCAATAACTATTTTTGTTAAGAAGGAGGCCGGTTTCATAAAGGATAGTGTATGCCGCAGGGGAATTTTCACTAGTAGGCTGGCTTCAGGATCAAATTTGTGCAAAGGAACAACGTGGCTTTTTCAAATCTATCCATTGTCTTGAAAGGAAGAAGCTTCTAAGGAGGTGAAGAGAAGACTCAAGAAATATACCTTGCAAAAGTGAAAGGATTGGGAAAGCAAGAATTATTTGAAGAAACATGAACTCCTTGCTTGAAGGGTGAGAGACTTTTCAATGGAAAGCGACTTCCAAAAACTAAGAGTAGTGGTTGTCCATGTCAGCTGTTATGTCATGTTCATGATGCTTCTGCAAAAATGGTAATGGGATAATAGTGTAGAAAATACATATTCCTGCAAACAAAATGGAACAATTCATTTGTATTTAGTAGCACGAAGGAGAACACATTCAACAGGCGCCGTGTGAAAGAAACTCCTCAACCATTCCAAAAATAACACGAGTGCAATTGTGTAAAGAAAACTTGCCCCTGCTCGTGGATTAGGAGGCACAACAAAAGCATCAAAAATACCAAAGATCTAGGGGATCTAAACATACCAAACACATCAAACATACCAAAGAGCTAGGGGTAATGTTTGGAGCCAAAAATACCAAGACATGGTGGACATATTTTGGCAGAGAAGAGGCCACCTCTTTCTATACAGGATTGCTATCTTTGGTATTTTTGCTAGGACCCCCTAACCCATAAACATTGCCCCTAGATCTTTGGTATTTTTGGTATGCACTCCTACCAAGGAGAGAGAACAAACGCATTGCAGGAAACACTATAAATCGTACACCTTCACGACGCTGGTATCGGATGAAAAGAATTTCATCGCAGTGTGCCCCTCTTGCAGGGGCAATTCAAGTGCACAATTTATCACATGAAGCTTCAACGGCCTTTGCTCATTAAGCTGCTAAATGGGAATTTGATACCACAATGAACCACATCCCCAAACCCAACACTCCACGTTTGAGGCTCTCTATGACCATATTATCAATGGTCCCCTAGCACGAGCCCGCAGTCACCACAATGGGGCTTTTGCATGCTTTTGCCAAATGCGGCCTCGCCTCCCAATCTTTCAACCGATCCAACACCAAAGAGTAGGAAATCCAGGCTGCCTGGTGTCGGTGAAACCCTCCCCCAAACAAGAAAAACATCGATACAGAACTAAAGACCTGGGAAGTCATTTGAACTGACAAAAGGAACTCTGAAGATCTGTGAAGTGGTCAACGTTGTGCACTGTACCCGAACTCGATAGTACAGTACAGCCAAAAGCAGGAATCGGTGATTCTCAACTGCACTTGTTGACGCACTTGAGAATTTATGTGAACTGCCACCTAGACACAAGAACCCTAAACTGATTGTGTAGAACATTTCGTCACAATCCACATTGGAATTGTAAGTCGGCTGTGCTTTCCTCTCTTCTTTGAAAGAATATCCTGAAACGCTGTATATGTCTTATCCAAAGCTTTGTGACTGTCGAACTCAGAAACTCAAACATGGCCTGATCTGCTTCACCCACCAGCAAGCGTCTCACTGGCAAACGCCCACGAAAGGCATTACACCTGCAAGGGCCGTCTGCAGGCGAGGGTCCCAAAGTGCCTGAGTAGCCCGTATTTGCAGTGCGATTTGGAGGTGTAGGCGTTGATTGTATGGAGACTCCAAACACAATGGCAATACACAGCACAATAAGGAATCTGCACCCCAAACCTCTTCAGATCTATGGCCTCTTCATTGATTACTTAGTCCACCTTGACAACGCTCCTATGGTAGTCTCCAAGGGCAAACTGTACTTCATCCGGCCCTTAAGGTCAACTGATCAAACTAAACTCTTGGCACATTTGGGTGAAGTAGCCTTCCCGGCCTGGCCTTCACTTCTTGCAAATAGCCTGTATCTGTGCATTACAGATTCACCCTGTTTTTGGAATCTGTTTTGTTGCACCAACTCCCCAACAAAACGAACCTCACAGTCGTCAACCGCCGCTTCCAGTGGCGCTGTCGAAGGCGATCCTTCCTGTCCAATGTAACTTTCGGTATCTGTTGGTATCAGGTTAAAGCCGTCTGAACAATACATGATCTCAAAACATGCCCCCAACCATTCATTCTACTCACGTCCCCTTAAACATGTTCAACTACACCAGTCATCATAGTCATAGTCCCTACAATACTTTTGAGATCGTGTTTTTCCCTAGAAAGCGATAGCTATGGATTCTTACTTCAAAAAGAATGAACTGGCTGTGCACGCTTTCGAGACAGGGTGCCGGCGCTGGTGCGGTGCTGGGCGCTGGTGCTGTGAGCTAGCTGCGCACACTTTGGAGACAGCGTGTCGGTGCTCGGCTGCTTGAGAACACGGGAACCTCCAGAGTAGTGCCGTGTTGTTTCTCGAACAGTTGCTTTTGCTATGACTGAATGCTTGCACGTGGTGCTTGTGAAGCCTAGGAGGTGCACTGAGTACACACATATAATACATTTGCACATATTTGTCTACAACAGCATATTGTAATTACTTGTTGCGCGTATGTTTCCCCAAATAGCCAACGCTTTTGGGGTTCGTATTAAAGTATAGGAAGAGGTGCCTGTGCGCGCTTTGGAGCTTGGGCCCTGGTGCCGCTGCAGGGTGTTGCCAGATATTGATGGCGTGTTCTTTTGAAGGCTTTGGAGCCTGGGTGCCGATCAAGTCTACGCCGAACATAGCGTCCTTGCTCCTAGTAGTACGGCCAGGAGCCCCTAGTAGCGTCCTTGCTCCTAGTAGCGATGCCCTTTGCTCCTAGTAGCGTCCTTGCTAGTTAAAGAATAGTTTAAAAAGAACGCTTGGGTGCTGCGCACAACAGTCTTTTGCTATCTGGGGTCTATGCTGGCGTAATCGTGGTGAGTATTTAAGTATCTGCTGGCCAACCTCGGCCGTCGGCCAATTCGACTCTTACCAAGCACAAACACAGTGAATCATTCTTCCAACTTATGCTAGGAAAAAGGAAAGGACCCTGTATTCTGGACAAATGACCTCCAAATGTATTTGCAGTGGCCTAGGGCCAGCTCTACAAGGTGGGGAATGCCTTCAACGGGCTGAATCGCTTCAGCCCGCGCCTGTGAGGCCTTGCCGATTGGAAACGCCCTGTGCGGAAGCCAAGGAATCTCAAAGCCCGCTCAGTGCCTGCCGGCACCGGTACGGCCGTAAGGCCCATGGCACAACCGCCAAGTCTTTCGAGTTCAATGGGAACTAGTAGCGATGCACTTGTTAGTAGTAGCTTCTTGTTACTAGTAATTAATGCCCTTTGATTTATTTTTTTTTTTGGTGCCATTTTGCGAGTTCTATGCCTTCGCTGCCATTGAAGCGTTTATGCGTGAGCACACCGTGCAAAGAAATCAAGTGTTCAATTGGGTTGACTCAACTGTCATTGAACATCAAAGCACGTTTCTCAAGGTACTAGTAACACGGGCATTGCTACTAGGAACAAGTGCATCGTTACTAGTAGCTTCTTGCTACTAGTTAGTAGTAATGCCCTTGTTACTTGTATGTTGTCGACCACTTAATCTTGAAAGAACACGCAGCGCCTAGTACACCCAGCTCAGGCTGCTTCTCCAACAAGGGGTCCACACCTCAGTCGGCTGAGACCTGGGGTCAAATAGTTCGATCCTTTTGTGGCATTCTGCTTAAACATTATCCTCAACAACACGGTGGTTTTCAATCGAGGATGCATATGGAAACCGAAAGTATAGTTGGCTAAGGGGTTTGTATGAATGTAGTGTTGTGGAATGAGAATTATGGCAACCACAAACCATCTGAGATTTGCACGTCCGCTCTTTCATACTTTGCATTAGTACTCCTCACTACTGATACAAATGGCCTTCGGCCTCAAGAAAATTATCCTTCTCTTATCCACACTCCTTTGAGGCATTTGACCAGCCCTTACGACGACACCACTTGGACGATGGGTCCGCTACAAATAATCAATTATGTGGTTCTTTCTGCTAAAACATACACTTTCTTGTATTCTTTCTTTTACGTCACTGCCTGGGAGGTCATTGCACCAAGGGTCGCAGTAAGCCGGAGGCGTCCAATGCCCATCGCTTTCGATGGCCCATCACGACTTGGAGCCTTAGCAACCAAACTGCGCACCCCGCGGTCAAGCTGTGCAGAACGGGTCATTGGGACCTACTGTTGCAGATCTGTAGCTTACAGAAGCAAGTTGTGTCAGTTTAAAAGGATCACCTTCATATATATATATAACTATATATATACACATATGAATCATGTGTAACACGAATGAGAAGAGTCTTGGCCCGGGAGCCCCAAGAAGGAGCGCCCCCGAGCTCTCCAAAACGCCTGACAGGCCGAGTGGAGCGTAACAGTTTAGCAGAGCCCCGGGTTCTCCTTCGGATCTAACAAGTCGGTCTGCATTCATCTTCTTTCATAAAAGACGTGATGAGATAAAGGAGAAATCACTGAAATCACTGTAGGTGCTAGTAGGTTGGAGGCCATTGCTATTAGGGTGTTCCATCATCTTCCGTCATCTTCCATGGGTTCGAGGTGCCAGAAGAATCACCCGGATGCTGTGATTCTGTGGTCTTGTTACGTAGGTCTTGTTAGGTCCTGTTAGGTCCTGTGGTTCTGACAGTCTGAGATTGACCTTCATCCAGTCGTTCACGCATCTAGTTGCCCGACCAAACGGGAGGTTCAGGTTGCTGGTTGCTGTTCCAAAAGGACCGGAATAGGACACTGTATTTGGAACCAATTAGTGCTCTTACCCTCACTGAAAAGAACGGTAATTATCGCAGTTGTGGCATACGAACCAAACTTGGTTGTTGCATGCAAAAGTGTTCCAGTTCATTTTGAAACAAAGTAGAACTGGAAACAATGAGAGAATTCAAGGAGCAAGGACGCTACTAGGGGCTCCTGGCCTTACTACTAGGAGCAAGAAGCTGTTTTAGAAACAAAAACTCAGAATTAGAATTCATGTTTTCAATTCGATGCACCACCGGCACCACGAGCGTCCGTCGTGCCTGACGGGTGGTGGCCTTCAGGGCACCCAGCTCATTCAGCAGCTCCAAGCCCCGAAGCTCCTGCGTTCGGTCGACGTCAGCCGTCGGCGTCGAAACACACGTTGAGAAATCCAAATATGGGAATCTCAAACTCCGCTGCCCTCAAAAAACAGTGTTTCACCGTTTGACGCTCCGGTTCCAACCAAATAGTTGCAACCCTGTTTATCCCTGTGTACCCTAGCAGGCCCTAGCAGGCCCTAGCAGCTAGCTGTCCCGAGATGTTTTTGCGTTCGTTCCTTCGTTGTCATTTCCATCTTGACGCTTGGATTCGATGTTAAACTCATTTTATCGCAGAAACATCAGCCAATTGGTGTCCTTTCTTGTTTGAACGTCGCCTTTTCATTCATTCCTGAGCATGTTTAACTATTTTCTTCTCTCCTGAGCTTCTGAGATGCATTTGGCGTGTTGTCGCCAAAGCTTCAGGTAGCCTTTCTGCAGGGACTCCGTCCTTTGCAGAATGGACGGCGAATCGAAGATGAAGCGTACTCGCTAAGAGCGGCCTCCCGACACACTCGAGGCTATTTGGACTCCACACACTCGAGCAATAAATCGAATCACTCAGATACGAGGCGGAATCTGCTCCATGTGTTGGTGCGAATGGGCAATTTGAGAAGTAGTCTTTACACAAATAACTCTTTTGCTGCTTTTGCAAGGTGCCTTGCTGTGTACCCTTTGGAGTTGGTACAACCGAAGCGTGCAAGTCAAAAGCTTAAATGTTTCGCGTCTACTGCGGCAAGGGATGTATGGGGAGCGCAGGGATCGTTGTTCAAGCCATGAGGTCCAACGTATTGAGTTGCACTTGGGATACGCTCACGTGCCTATTCAGAAAAAGAGGCATCCAGGCATGTCCTTACGCGAACAGATGTTGACACTCCCTGATATACACTTGTTTATGTCGTTACTCTCCTGTCCCGAGTCCCTGCCTTTTGGAAGACTGTTTGCCCCTCACATGATAGAACACCAAACATTTTGAGACTTTTCGTTGTCAAAATCCAAGATTCATAGGCACTGTAGGCAAAACAAAATTGTACAAAACTAAATGACAATAGAAAGCAACATGCCATGAAAACAAGTGCGATCATGTGTTCAGCTTACCCAAGGCCTCTAGAAAAGCATTGTGAAACCATCTCCTTTCATCTTTGCACACTGTGTCCCTTTGTTTTACAAGGCGCTTCAAACACAATCTACGCGGACCTGCCCAGCTTGGCTTTTGAGTGTTAGGGCTCCAAACACCTCAGGCTTTGGAGCAAACTGCAAAGCCTCCACCTGGTCCAAACCCCGTGGCCACGTCGCATTACGAGATTCACGAGAGATTAAAAGCACCTGGAATCCAATCATTGAGACACACGAGAAACAGCAAACATGGAGTCATGTGTCAGTGGAAACACTAGATGACCTGTGACCAACTTGCGTCGTCGCGAGACGAATTCAAAATGACCGGTGCTGAGCCGCAACAACTGACATCATCACTGCTTCAGGGTTCATGATATCATTGGTTTTCTGCTTCAATGAATAAGGACCTTTCACCTCAAAAGGAATGATTTCTCGCATTCGCCAAAAGTGCAAGATCTCTCGTGACTGCTTTGCTCGTTGCTCGGTCACCCAAAACTGCTCTAGCTGTCACCGCCACCAGCGGTCCGGTCTTCGCCTGTTGAAGCATCTTTCGAGGCATCGGGCCTGAGGAACGGGGTACATCCAAAAGTTCCTAGTAGCACTTGTTTCTACTAGCCTCTTGTAACTACTAGTAAGGCACTTGTT